TCGATAATATTTAGACGGTATATTCATTATACAGAGCTAGGAAGGAGCTAGACCGCCTAGACAGTGCAGTTAAGTGTATAAACATTTCAGACGTAAATATTGAGTCGAAAATCTTGCTTCTAGGCATTCAATTGAGTGCCGATATGATTTTTTCACGGCATACTCATTATACAGAGTCTGTATAATGAGTATGCCGTGAAATTACAGAGGTACAGTACGTGCAGGCAGAAGCGAGACAGTGTTGTTTTCAAGTATATAAACATTTCAGACATGAATATTGAGAAAATCTTTGAGATTCTACGCAATAATAGTAATACAATATATAAATTGATGTTATGCATTACCGTCGATATTATTTAGACCGTGTATTCATTATACATTCTCATTGACTGTATGAGGTGCGCTACATCACAGAATAGATGGCTATACTCAGTACAAAGAGCGAAAAATTGCATCAGATTTGTATCAGATCAATAATCGCTTAATTGGCTCGCCAACAAGCTTTATTCAATAGAAGAAAAAAGCAAGGAGGTACATGTAGCCAACGTGTACATTCACGGACCTTGTCCTTGTCTTTGTTTTATACTGTCTAGTGTCTAGCACAACGCCGTTGTCAACGGTGCAAACTCGTATTCAGTGCAACGATAACTCTACCAGATCTTACGAGAATCAATCTGTAGTATTCTGTACACAGAACTGTATCAAAGCTTGTCAAAAATGTTTTAAACACTGCTATAACTGTGAAACTATTGAAATCTAAAGTGATATTTATATTCAACACATCCGAAAAGCTGAAAATAGACACACGTCACACTGGGAAAAGTCAAAGGTCAATGAAACTTGTTATTGTGAAACATGTCACAATTAAGTTAAAATGCGGAAGCGGATGGAGCGGATCCACGGAACGGATATGCGGATAAAATACGGAACGGATGAGGATAAAATACGTCTTTTAATGATGTAACGACGTAGTGCTTATTATTCATAACATATCTTATACAGCTATTTCAATTATAGTTTATTAGATAAATTTAGCATAGCAGTAGCCTCGTGGGGATGCTTTCAGCGACAGCTGCAAATGCAAATGAAAATTTAGAATATGCAAAATTTGGTTGTTGGTGACACAATAAATAGATGAATTGCATCAGTTTCACAAGGCACGTTTCTGATGTGTTAGGCTTGTTTCAAACGTCACGCTACTCGTATGCCGAGCGTATTAAAAGCAATAAATAATGAGATGAAATGCCTTTGGTAACTGTTTATTTCGTAGTGTAAGCCATCAAGCTTTTCTAGGTTGTCGGCGACCCTATATAGTTCTTGCAGTGTCTTTTTAAATTTGAAACTTCACACTATCCTTGGATCCCTAGTTTGGTTTGAAATTTCAAAATATTTAATTATTTTTAACCCCTATAAATATATAGTTTATTTTCTTCCTGTATTTAAAAAAAATGTAGTGTTATGTCTTATGAAACAGTGTTAATAAAATTAAATTTGAATTGAATATTAGTCCAAAGGTACAGGTTCAAGTTCAACGCCAACATTGGAGGCATTTCAAGCAACAAAGAGGAAAGAAAGGGCATCTAATTTTAGACCGAAAGGAAATACGGCAAAGCGTTAATGGCAATGATACCAGTGGAGAAGTTGCAATAAATTTCGGGATGATGTTCTACGATGGAAATCAGTTAAAACCTCAAAGATCGGCGAATTTATCAGTGAAAGTACCAAAGGTTTCAACCAAAGATGAATTGCTGGCGACTGGTTTGGCCAAACACAAAGCTCACTCAAAGAACTTAATCAAAGACAATATCAAATACGTTTTGCTGTACCCTGCTGGTTCACTCGTTGATAAATTGGGAGAAAGTGATGAGAGATTTGTACTGTACAAGTACAAGAATGAATACGGTAAAGCATACCAGCGTATAAATTTTTACATTTGTCCTTCCCATGACTATGATGACCATACCATTAACGGATTAGGTGATCTTTGGGTTGAGTCGGATGAAGGTGACATAGAAGCAGTTAACAGTGATACTGAAATTGTTGATTTAACATGTAATAGAAAGCAAATTAGGAGAACATCTTCAACTGTGACAACAGCAGACAATTTGTCAACTATTTTAACTGTATCAAACCCTGTTAATACTGCAATCAATGTAACAACCGAGCAAAGTGGAGCCTGCTCGACTGTAACAGCAAAACCACACAATTTGCCAGCTA